GAAAGGTCTGACCAGCATGTCCGGCCAACAACGCTGTAATTATCTAAGTGGGCCTTGGCAGAAAAAAGTGTCCCACGCTGCCCCAGGGGTCAAACTGGCCACAGCAACTCCAAAGTATCCAGAGGAGCCTTGGGGGCAGAGGTCATGCTCCCGGGGGTTGGGGGAGAAGGCTCGGAAGGAGGGAGGAAACAGCCGGGAGGCTCTAGGTATAAGGTCCTGTTCGTGACTAAACTGAGCCCGGGGAGCAGTCGGGTTGGTGCTGGGCTCTGCCCGACGGATTCTCGACAACTGCAAACACAACACGAACAATGCAAAGACAGTCGCAGGGAACATGCCTGCAGGTGGCTGTGTGTGCCCATCTGTAAAAGGCAAGCCGTAAGACATAACGCAAAAAGGAAGACCGTTGCCGGAGACCCCACCTTTAGGGGCCCGGGTCGTGGCTTTGACCCCCACTACATGGCCAGAGAGTTCTGGGGGGCAGAGCCTCCAGTGGCCCAATGGTAGGCCCCGGGAGGCAGGGATAAGAGCCCCGGCTGAGAGTCAGCATCAAGTGCCCACAACTTGAGAGTCAAGGCCACGCCAGGCCCTCTGCCCGGCGCTGACCTCCAGACGGCGGCTGCAGACCAAACACCAGGCCCCCCAGAGGATTCCGACCCACGACGATGCCACAGGACCGGGTGGGACTGCCCCTGGGCGGTCCCAGACCGCCACCACTCTTTACAGAAACAGAAAGCTTCACCGTGGTTCTCCCACGGAGCGTGTGGCGGTATGGGACTGCTGACCTGTGTCTAGCTAGCAGCCCAACACACAACCACCACAGCCGGCTGCTGCCCGCCCTGGCCCTGTGCCGGCCGCCCGATGGCTCTCAGCTTCGAGCCCACTGCTGCAGCCACCGTGTGTCCGTCCATCTGGTGGAAAGTCTCCCTCTGTTTTTGCTGAGCAGGATGCCCTTCTCTCCCGACAACCTGTCCAAAGGAGGCGAGACCCCGTCTTGCCGCTCCCTCTTCTAAGAAAACGCTCTGGCTGGATTTCTTCTGAGACAGCTGTCTGTTCTCTTGGGAGTCCACGGCCACTCCAAGATTCCTCACCAGCACTGCCCTTCAACACATCTGAGCAGGGAGGGGTCAAACCAACCTTGCCCTGCCTGTGCTCTGGGGGGGTCTCCTGAGTCCTGTGGGTCTTCTTTATTGATGACAGGACCCCCCACCCCTCCAGGAGGACCCACAACCTGCCCGGACCTTTCTACAGCTGCGAACACTGACACTGCCCTCTCCCTCCCCAGCCCTGTGCCCACGTCTTGTCCTCATATTGTATCAGCCTCCAGGGTCCCGCGGTCACCTTCTATCTGGCCAGCCTCCCTCCGCTTGCTCCATCGCCTGTCCCCTGGGCACACCTGTCCCTGATGTAGCTCCCATATAAGCATATTTAAAAAAAAAAAAAGGCCAAGAACAAACAGGGTCATGCAGAGGATGGATGCCTTTATGACGCAAATAAGAAATAAGGATACAAATCAAAACAAATGGTGCTCGCTTCGGCGGCACATATACTAAAATTGGAACGATACAGAGAAGATTAGCATGGCCCCTGCGCAGGGATGACATGCAAATTCGTGAAGCGTTCCATATAAAAAAAAAAAAAGCCCGACAGAAAGCAAAAATAAATAAATAAATAGACAGGAAAGAAAATAACCGGTTTCATCAGAGCGGAAAAGTACAGGCCGCCAATAAAAATGTAATCTCAAGAATAACGAAATACATTGAGACAAGGCACGCTGGGGAGGAAGGCCGGCGGGGTTGGCAACAATTAGAAACAGTGTAATGACAAGCCAAACGGAGGCTCTGAAACTGCTTTGGAATAGGGGCGGGGCGCAGAGGGGGTCAACTCCCTCCAAATGCCACCTGGAAGCCGGACCAAAAGCTTACAATGTTTCCGCCTTCTGACCCCTCTGCTTTTGTTCCCAGGACGGGATCCTAAGGAAACACTCGAGGCAACCACAAAACTATACACGCCTCC